TTACTTTATAGCTGTTGACTTTGCTCCATATTCTGCCTTATTTTAAGTTCTCTGCTTTTGAAGTTTCTTCTTGTTTCTGTTGCTTTTTGTCTTTAAAATATCTACCATGGGATGGGTTTTCTCCTATTGCTTTTTCTACTGTTTTGCAAGATAAATATTCCATTTTTAGTTGTACTGATGAACAACTTTTAAGTTTTTCTTTATATTTATTTTTTAATTATTAAATTAGAATCAAGAATGAGACAATATAACTTGAGACATTCCTATTTAAGACAGAATCGACTTTTCTCAGCATCTGCCAACCCCTCCTGCACCCACCCTCCTGTCAATCTTTTTAGAGTAATCAAAAGCAGTGTGTCCAATAGAAATTGAACTACATGGGTTGTTGTAAATTTATAAGGACGCGTGTAAAAATGTAAAAAAAAAAAAAAACCAGATGAAATTCATTTAATAACCTGTTTTATTTAACCTAAACTTTACCATTTTGACGTGTGGCACTAGTGACATTTCACGTGCTCAGCAGCCACGCATTAGTGGCCCTCCCATTAGACAGCACAGGACAAAGTATCAGAGCTTTATCAACTAGGACGTCCTGCACTATGGCTCTGTAGTCACAGAGTTGCACTTATGACCTGTCACCTTGGTTATTTGGACTTGGGTTGGTGTCCTCCCGTCTCTGTGCCTCTGCCAGCCCTGTTATCCCCCGACCTCTAGGTTCGTGAGCTTCCGTATCTGCACCGTCTCTGTCTTGGTCAGCTTGGATTGTTCTAACAGACGGCTGTAGGCTGGGGAGTAGATGGCTCAGTGGGAAGGGACCTGAGGCCAGTGTGATGCTGGCTCTCTCCAGGGGCCCGTTGATGGACTGTTCTGGTCTTCTGACCTAAATACTTGCCAGCTCATGTCTAGGGTAGCTCTAAAGACCTGATTTTCTTGAAATTCATTAAGTCCTTCCAGTCCAAATACACACAGCTTTGTGGATTTAGCTAGGAATAGTTAATCCTTAATTATTTCTTTGATTATTATTTTAATCCTAATTGTTCTTTCTCTCTCCCTAGCAACTAAATTATCGTGTTTGGTCTCAGCTAAACATACTCTGTCTTTATTCTATTTTCTGTCATTATATTCATGGTTTTATCCTTTACCTTTCTATTTTGGAAGAACCACTCATATTTGTCCTTAAAACCATGGAATGGATCTCTGTGGTGTTAATTTTGCTCTTTTCTGCCTCCAATGTGAATTTTTTTTTTTTTTAACCAGTAAGGGGATCACAACCCTTGGCACGGTGTGGTCCGCACTGTGCTCAGCCAGTGAGCGCACCGGCCATCCCTATATAGAATCCGAACCCGCGGCCTCGGCGCT